TCACCACTAGGTGATATTATCTATCCTGCACTTGCTGATATTGTATCATACAGTATATACCGTATATATTAATATTTTTAGCGCTGCACCTATTTACTGTGATATATAGCTATCTACAAATAACATTGAATACATTTAAATGTGATCTAGCTACATATGTGACTTTAACAAACACAATGAAAAAACTTACAGGCAATGTGTATCAAAGGGAGAAGGAGGCCGACACTGGTGTTCTTCTAGAAGCTAAACTGGAACTGGATTGATGTATAGGTGAAACATCCTGTTTCCTGTTTCAGGATTTCAATAGGCTGCAATTGCAGTGAATGCTCAACAGATGGCTCCCTACTCAACACAATGATGTGTATACAGAACACACTGCCTTAACACAATAGGAGTTAGCACACATTAACATGCTTACATTAACACACCACAACAGCCTGGATAAACGTGAATGGGTCCGAAGTTGTGTAGCAATAGCTCCAAAACAGACATTTGTATAATCATATGTTCCAAAATGCATTCACAGTAATTGGAAGCACCTATAGTGCATGTGTTCTGGACAGATAAAATGCAAGTAAAAACCTATTGCATGCATGTACCACAATCCCTGAGGGAGCTGCTGGTTATGTCGGGTCCTCTGTACTTAACTAGACCTTGGTAAGTGCCTCAGCACCGCTGATACCTTGGGTATGCACAGTAGTAGAGAGAAATTATTTATTTTTGATAATACCTTAGGGTCACCCAGAAATTAGTCTCTAGACCTTGTAGAAAAAACAAAGTATATTGTCAGGTAATTATCAGGTAAACAAGGTATAACAGTAAAACGGCATACACAACACACAAAGGGTTTCTTGAGATATTACGGTACTGCAATCTGTTTCAGCAGGCTTCTTCCAATGAAGGAGGCCCCCTTTAAAGTGGAATTGATTCCAGGTAGCATCCTGTAGCGATTGGATGAATGGTGAACCCTGATGCACAACAGTGGTCTTTCAGCATCTTGTTCCACTTCTTTATAGCAGCAATGTCAAGCAACTAATCCGGATTCTATGCTCCAGGTCCCCGACGGCACAAATGGCAGGCCTCTGTGCAGGATTTGATAACAGCAGCCTGACGCACACTCTCTCTGTCTCAGGCCATCAATTTGTAGCTAAATGAATGGCTCTACAGAATTTACAGGCCCTGGCACACAGCATACAGGTGTAGCGCTACCCCGGAGGAGCCACTTCTTTTTGCCTAGGTCTCCCCTTGCTTTGCCCTGCAGCGAGGCACAAAGTATTTTCCACAGCCAACTACACACACTCTTTTGCTCATTGTCTTCAATGACCAGTCTAGGGGATGTTTGTTTTTGAAGTTTTATTGTAGAACTGGGGACAGAGATTGAGAATTCAGTATGATACTCAAAAAGTAGAACTATTCACACTGAGGACATCTAGCTGATCTCTTAGTTGCGTACTTTTGAAGTCCTCGTTGAAAGCAAATAGCAGAATTCTCTTTAAATTGTAGTAACCAGTAGTTTAGGAGTGAGCAAATTCCCTTTAACGGTAGTAGTAGTTGCAGGGCTGAGCTCCTCCGGTACAGGCCTGTTACGGCAGACTGTGGCAGTCCAAAAGTATTAGTCCTTTGCAATAGCAACAGTTGGACGAGTTCTTCAGAACACCCTCTAATGTTCCCTTTTTCTCAGACCCACGCTATCAAGAATCAGAGGGGTAGCAAGCACACAGAGTCCCCTCACAAGTCCAAGGACAGAATGGCAGCCTCCTTCCAATCTTCCAGGCGACTCTCTCCAGTGATACCAAATAGATCTTTGTCAGACAGCTCCCCTCAATCAGCTTAGTGCAGAACCAGAGTCACTCTTTTTTTAACATCAGGCCCTCAGGTTACACACCTGAGGCCCATGTGGCAGTATGTGCCAGGCAAGGCAAACCTGCCTCCTGGCTGGCTTGGTGCAATCCTCTCCAGGGAAAGACGCTGAACCCAGGTGCTCACAGAACATAAATGCCACTCCCAGCATGCAATGGGGTCACGCACCCCTGCAATTGGCCAGGGCTGTATCCATATTCATGTATTCCATTTTAATTTACCTAGTTCCCTCCCAGGTTCTGGAAGGCTCTCATAACTTCCTGAAGGTGGGCAGATCTCAAGACAAACTCAGAAGCACCAGAGCATCATGAGCAGACCTTACTAATCCATCCTAGCACTCTGTAAGCAGAGAGCCCAATTAGATTTTCCTAACAGTCTCTCTGTTAAGCAGAGAAACACAACTATATTTATCCTAACTATACAAATCATAGCACCTAACTAGGAGGGCATTACACAGGGGTAGATTTACTAAAACTGGTGCAGCTGTGCATGGTAGCAAATCAGCTTCCAATATCAGTTTGTTCAATTACGCTTTGGCAATAAAATCTAGAAACAGAAGGAAATGGCAAAGAGTACATATAAAACAATAGAAACCTCCTGCGCTACTCAAAATTGGACTAATAATTATGGGGAGGGGGGCTGCTAACACCCAACCATATACCAAATGGATATAGTGCAAAATCTAAAGTGAATTGATGCAGCGCTACCCCAATACTACACTACTCTCTTACTGGCTTATCCAAAAAACAGATAATTAAACCAATAAATGCTGTACAATAAATATGTAAAATAGAATAGAATGCCCATAAAACAGTTTAAGTCATTCAAAATGCTCATAAAAACTTATAAGTGACTAATAAATGCCACCGATGCAATTCAGTGATTACAACAAGTCAATCTCTCACAGTTCATAAAGTGAGCTGATCTACCATAGTGAAAAAATGAATAGATAATGTGTAGAAAAATAAACACCAGTGAAAAGTCCTGATGGGACTTCAATATTTATGAACTATAATAAACATAAAAAGTGAATCCCTGAATGTGGGATCAATAATCACACTGATAGGAATGGTGACCACAAAGGCTGTAAATTAGCCAAATTAAGTGAAAAAATCTGGAAGGTAGAAGGTTTCTCTGCAGAGTTGCACCAGATTTTGCACTCTTTAGTTTTAGTATATAACCCCCACAGTCACTAACTGGCCTCCTAAGTTCTTTCTCTCTCTCTAGCACATCCTTCTCTTCTACACTCACTGGCGGCAGTCTCCCCATAGCCCCCTCTCCTTCCCTGACTTTTCTAATTATATGGCTCCTCATGCCTCCAGGCACACTGGATCCTGCAGTTTCTTTGCCTGCAATGGTAATGGTACCACTCATAGCCTAAACTACATCTCCCAGCATTCAGTGTCCCATGCCTGAAAATGCTGGATGCAAAATCCAAAGAAGTTTCATCTTGTGACAAGAAAACATTTAGGCAATTTTAACAATAATAATACATTACAGAATCTACATAGTCCAGTAACAGAGATTCTGATTACACGCAGAACTGACATTTAAAGAAACATGATCAAATCAAAAGTAATTTGTGATTCCCAGAGGTATATCGTACATTTCTTTGCAACATTTCTTTCTGAGAAGTTGAAGAAACATTCAAAAAGGGTCATGCAGCTTCTGTGAAGAATTAATTATAACTTAAAATTATGAAGCTAATTGATTTAAATGATCTCAAAGTTTCCTTTTAGCGATTTGAGCCCACTTTTAATGAGTGCTTAGGGATCCAAATTTCCCAATACCCTTTACTAAGGAACCTATCTCTAAGCTGATTAGCTTGTATATATAATTTCTAATGCCTTAAGCCATTCTTACTCAAAGGAACGGGTCTGTTTATGTACTATAATCAGTCTAATTGCCTGGGGAATTAATAAGTCTTCACTTCTTTTTAACTCTTGTAAGAGTTCACATTTCTATTTCGACACCGAAGCAAGAAAACATCAATGAGACAAGTGGATGTGTTAGAGAACATTGGATTCTTTTCCAGGTACATATAAAATGTACAATGCTTAAACTTAATATAGAATTAGAACTTTTCGAACACATCCCAATTCACATTGGGCGTTTAACCACTGTGCACGAGGCTCCCTTGTTTAAGTAGCGGCAGACGGCACAGGTGCATGCATTTTGTCAAACCTTATGAAAGGCTAATAGCAGCTGTAGCTAAACAATGCTGGGCAGTACATCTATCAGAACTAGTACTTAGGGCAGTATGTGCCCAGGGACAAATGCCTAGATTGCAAGTCTGCTTTTGGAGCATTTGTACCTAGGTGCGTGCTGCCTAAACCTTAGCATCGCTTGGTGCTCCCTCCAGCCACAACAGCTATCAGGCTCTCATAGAGTTTGACAGACTGCTGGCTGCGTGGCTGGATGGGTACCTGTGCCCTCTGCCTGCACCTAAACACTCTATGTGACCTGCTGGTCTCCATCTGAAAAATAGTTGCCTCACTAGCATTGATATATCTGAGTCATAGACCACAAATATGCTGCAAATGAAAGGCAGACAAAAGGCGGAAATCCTTCTATACCTGATCCAGTGACTAAAAAATGGCTTTGGGGTTCGAGTTTAAATCTACTTTAACCACTTGCCTACAGGGCACTTCCTAACCAGGCCAGTTTTCAGCTTTCAGTGCTGTCACACTTTGAATGACAATTGCACGGTCATGCAACACTGTACCCATATGAAATTTTTTATCATTTTGTTTGAGACAGATAGAGCTTTCTTTTGGTGGTATTTAATCACCTCTGTGTTTTTTGCTAAACAAACCAAAAACAACTGAAAATTTTGGAAAAAAAAGTTTTTTCTTAGCTTTTGTTATAACATTTTGCAAATAAGTGATTTTTCTCCTTCACGGATGTGCGCTAATGAGGCTGCAGTGATGGGCACTGATAGGCTGCACTGATAGGTGGCACAGATGGGCACTAATGAGGAGGCACTCATAGGTGGCACTGATGGGCATTGACAGGCATCACTGATGGGCACTGAAAGGCAGCACTCATATATGGCACTGATAGGCGGCACTGATAGGTGGCACTGATAGGCGGCACTGACTGGCACTGATAGGTGGCACTGTGTGGCACTGTTAGGCGGAACTGATGCACACTGATAGGCGGCACTGATGAGCACTGATAGGTGGCACTGATTGGCAGCACTTATAGGTGGCACTGACTGGCATTGATAGGTGGCACTGACTGGCACTGATAGGTGACACAGAAAGGCAGCTCAGATGGGCACTGATATGTGGCATTGATGTGCACTGGTAGGCACTGATATGTGGCACTGATGGACACTGGCAGGTGGCATTGATGAGCACTGACAGCTGGCATTGATGGGCACTGACAGGTGGCACTGATGGGGCTACATTGATCATCAGGGCAGACTGATCATCAGTGCCTGATGATCAGTGTAGATGACCCCTTACCGGCTCTCCTCTCCTCAGCGTGACAGCTCGAGAGGAGAGAAATGCCGATAACCAGCATTTCCCTATTTACATGCGATCAGCTGTGATTGGACACAGCTGATCACATGACCGCGCCAACATCTTCGGCTCTTTCTGTTGATCGGTGATCCGCTGTGTCCATGGGACACAGCGCACCACCAATCACTGCGCTGCACGCTCCCAGAACAAGAGAACCGACTTTCGCTCATCATTACCTTATATGGCGGGCGGGAGGCGGTTAAGCTGTTACTAATCCCAGGACCCTGCATTCACTATATCTGGTCTCCCACAGTACACAGAACATGGAAATGCAATTATTTTAGTAAATATAAAGTGCTAAATACCTTTTTTCATCAGCAGTTAGAGCAGTCTTGTGATTTCGATCAGTGTCCAACAGAGCACATGTTAAAACTTGTAGGAGGAGTTTTCATTCTGATCTAGGAGGATGCAGGACCCTGGCCCTCTGTCTGGACAGTGCTGATTGGCCCTGTGCCGATCACATGCACTCTCCGAAGAAAATAAAAAAAACCTCTAGCAATACACACCAAACTGAGCATATGCAGAGTGACTCCACACGACGTGTCTTATGAGGAGATAAGAGGGGGACACTGGAAGAAGGGGAGGCTCAGAGAAGTCAGGCTCAAACAGCCTTTTTACACAATGCAGAGGATTAACCCCTTAGATCCCAATAAGCATGCTTTACTACATACGACTGATTTTGTGGGTTTAGTAACACTTTAAGTACCATTTTTGCTATTTTTCACTAAAATCATTCATAAACATTACATAACATAAAAAAACCTGCTATATCTAAAAGATAAACCTGTATTGAGTCAGTAAATAATACATATTTGTACATTTTAAATTGTGCTTTTTTGGGAAGCTGTGAAAATCGAAGACAATAAACTGTATATAATAAACTTATGCAAAAAATCTGGAGGCTGGTTACTGGCTTTACATTTATGTGTTGTGAGAATGCCTAATCTACAGTGCCGCATATAGAAGTGTCATTCATTTTAAGTAGCTCCCCTCAAATCACACCTTCCAGTGCACCTGCAGTAAATACATGTGCATTTCAGTGCACCACAATGCACAGATGGGAACCACCCGTATGCTGTGTTCATAGAAACAAATGTTCACATCTTTTGTGAGTGGTGGTGTGCTGGCACCCCATTCAAAATTAATGGGCTTCTCTAGCACAATCCAGATTAATCACTTTCGGGGCGCCCGCCTGCAATGTACTGAGGATCAGCGGCAGCTACAGGACCAGCGACGTACCCCCTTTGTCAACACACGCAACCCACGGACACAGCAGAATGAGAATCCGGTAATCAGGACTCAGTGATCATGTGATCACACATAGCATCACAATGACAACAAAGCTTTTATGAATCAATCTAATTCAGTAAAGCTTTTCTTCCTGTTAAGCTGTAATTGGTCCATAGTTCTCACCTGACACAGGGGGCCAATCAGAGAATTCTGTACCATGTGACCAGCTGGAGCCAATCACAGATCACTATTATATTGAACTGTCATGAAATTAACACATTCATGACAGTTCAAAGCAAGATTTGATCTTCATTGCTCCTGCAATGCAAAGTGTAAAACTAAAATCCGTGATCACCCCCCCAGAGTAGTACCATGTTACTATGGTAACATTGCATTACTCTGATGAAAGTAAAAAAATATATATATAGTAAGAAAAGAAAAATAATGTTTAAAAAAAATGTAAAATGTTTAAAAAAATTGAGAGAATTTTTTTTTGTTGCCGCCCGACCATCAACAGTGTGTGGGCAAGCGGCGTCTCTGGGCAAAGCGACGCAATCTTATGCCGTCCAGGTAGAGAATAACGAATTTGGCACTGAGTAAAAGCACTACATTTTACACACACAGCATATTAAATTAGCAAATTAGCACATTTAACGCTTTGATCATCCTATTAACCTTTTGATTACCCCGTTATCCAGCCAGTGTCATTAGTACAGTGTCAGCATATAGAATTTTTCACTGATCACTGTATTACTGCCACTACCGACATCAGATAGTTGACAGGGTCAGCTAGCACCCCTCCCAGCCAGGGTCAGCTAGCATTAGATTGCCCGCACACCATCGCACTCACACTATACACTAGTGCTTCCTTTGTATAGTGTCCCCAAAAATGCAGTGTTGGCAGGATCAGCCCTGTTCGCTGCCAGTACTAGCATTTAGCTCCTTCACTGTTTTTCATGGAAGATTTTTATCAATTGATTGTGGGCCAAAGCAATTTATACACACAACAATACATCACCGTCCACCCAAATTCAGCTCTTGCCAGACAATTCACATGAAAACACATTTCACAATTACTAAATTTAAAACTTTTGTGGGCCTAACCCTCAACATGGGCTATACAAAAAAGAATGAATTGCGGTCATATTGGTCTACAGACCCAATTCATTATATGCCCATGTTCTCTGCTGTTACATATATGCCCAACATGGACCAGCAATGTATGGTACAATGCTGGACTTTGAGTGGTTATACTGGGATGATGCCTGCAGCTACAGGCATCATCCTGGTATAATTTTTTTTCAAATGGCGATCGGTTTTCATGTAAAAACAATCTTAGTTGCTAATTAGCCGCTGAATTGCTTTTACAAGCAGTGGGAAGGGACTCCCCCACCCCTCCCGCCGCCTTCCAAGGTTTTCTTGGGCTCTCCCACCCCACCAGGGAGTTCAAAAATGCAATCGGCAGTTCCGCTGACTGACAATAGAGCTGATCAGAGACTGGAATGCCTCCAATCATCTCTATGGTTTAAGAGATCGGAAGCTATGAGCATTTCATCATTTCTATAGAACAAAAGTGAGCGCTACTGATAAATTGTCACATAAGCAGCTAAAAGCACTAAGGATGATCACAACCACCTCTATAAAAGAAAAATTAGAAAAGTGCAGCGCTAGATAACACAGTGTTAAAATACAGTAAGTTCGATCTAAATAGTTCGATCGGAAATAAATGTTCATAAAATTCATAAAGAATCCTGCGATCGATTCATAAGTAAGGTGAACACAGCTTGTATCAAATCCGGAAAATGGCAGAAATGCGCATCACCGACCGCGCATTGCGCATATGTGTATCAAATCCCACAGATGTCGTTATCCTCCAGAAAGGGGTGTCATCAGACGATCTGCTGGGCTAGACGGGCCTCCTTAGATATGGATCAGCCAAGGTATATATTCCTTCCAGGTGCAGGATTCCCTCCTCTGGATAAGATATACAGCTGTGTCTTTCAGCTCTCCAGACAGGACTTGTCTGATCCCCAGGCCAAGAATCGATCGCAGGATTCTTTATGAACATTTATTTCCGATCGAACTATTTAGATCGAACTTACTGTATTTTACACTGTGTTATCTAGCGCTGCACTTTTCTAATTTTTTTTTTTTTTTTATTTCATCATTTCTGTTTCACCGGATATAAACAGCACTATTTTCAAAATTGGGAAAGCATCTGATTACACTGATCTTGGTGAGATCAATTGCTTTAAGGGCAGGGGAGAGATCTAGAGTCTAATAGACCCCAGATTTCTCAAAAAAGAATACTTGTCACTGCCTATTGCTATCACAGGGGATATTTTCATTCCCTGTGATAACAATAAAAGTGATTAAAAAAAAAAAGAAAGGTACAGTGTAAAAATAATTTTAAAAAAGCAAAATAAATAATTAAAAATGAAAAAATTCACCCCCACCCCCATGCTCGCACGCAAAGGCAAACTCAAGCAGCGGTCCCATGTCAGTAAGTATACATGGATTGCACTATGCACGTGAGGTATCACAAACATCAGGACAGTAATTCTAGCACTAGACCTCCTATGTAAATCTAAAATGTTGACCTGTAAAGGCTTTTAAAGCATCACATATGGATATTACAACTTTATGTAATTTGTCGCCGTTGCACGGGCGTGCACAATTTTAAAGAATGTCATGTTTGGTATCCATTTACTCAGCGTAATATCACCTTTTATATTCTATTAAACAATTGGGCAATATATTGTGTTTTTGTGCATTAACCACTTGTTCTCCTGAGGATTTATACCCCTTCCTGACCAGGCCATCTTTTGCGTTACAGCACTGCGTTACTTTAACTGACAATTGCGCATTCATGCAACGGTGCACCCAAATTAAATTTCTTTTTTTTCCCACGCATTGGGCTTTCTTTCAGTGGTATTTGATCGTCTGTGTGTTTTTTATTTTTTGCTCTATAAAAAAAAAAAGACCGACTATTTTGAGAAAAAAAAAAATATTTTTGACTTTTTGCTATGTCCAGTAAAAAAATTTTAAAAATCTAATTTCGTCATAAATTTAGGCCAAAATTTATTCTGCTACATCTCTTTGCTAAATAAAATCCCAGTACATGTAAATTAATTGGTTTATGTGAACGGTATAGCGTTTACAAATGGCGGTATAGATACTTGTATTTTTTTTTTCTAATAATGGTGGCGATCAGTGACTTATAGCGGGACTGCGGCGGGCATTCTGACACGGGGGGGAACTGACTTGGTGTCACTGACATCCCCAGTGACACCAATACAGTGATCAGTGCTAAAAAAAAAAAAAAGCACTGACGCTGTACTAATGGCACTGGGCAGGAAGGGGTTAACAAGAGGGTCGATAAAAGGGTTAACTGTGTGCTGGGATTGTTTTACTGGGGGGGCGGTGTGTTGGTGCTTCACTGTAAGGACACTGCTCTGAATGGCTGTGCTGTGCACAGCCATCCAGAGCAGTGTGCCGGAGCCAACAGGGAAGAGGACTGTTAGTAAACAAAGCAGCCCTCCTCCCCATCAGAGATCCTCTGTAATCACTGGGCACCAGCTGGTAATCACCGGCCAGGACCCAGTGATTGACAGCTGCGGTCACGAACGGTGGCGCGGGTACGGCGCGCACGAGCGGAAGTGCGAAATCACAGATATATATGTGATTTTGCACACCCCTGCTGCCCTGTAGCAATATATCTGCTATAGGGTGATGGGGAATCAGTGACAATTCTTGTGTTTGGAAAAATGCTACGCAAACACTGTGTGACATAAACAATTTCAACACCCACCGTTTTATTCTCTAGGGCATGTGCTTTAAAAAATAAAAAAAAATATATATATATATATACAATGTTTGGGGGTTCAAA